CCACCTTTTGCAGGTATGTGAAGGAGGTCTGCAACTCCTTCGTGTGGATGCTTGGGGTTTCAGGGCTGAAGCCCTGAACTCTAAACCCCAGGGCTTGGCGTTTCAAGGGTTTAGGGTAGACAGAGCTGTCAGGGTTCTAGGGCTTTGGGTCAACGGGTTGGGGGGTTCTAGGGCTTTTGTAGAGTTCATCGAATCTTGTAGGGTTTTTTTATCGGGCTTTTGGGTTTAGGGTTTAGGTTTTAGGGTCTTACAGGGCCATGGAGCTACAGGGTGTCTAGGCCTTTACGGGGGCTTCTACAGGGCTTATAGGGTTTTGTACATGGTGTTCTGTAGAGTTTGGAGGGTTTGCAGAGTTTACCTTGCTTGGTCATCAGCACACCGGCATGGCCACCCAATACTTGCAGGGAACTAAATATTGTGTCCGCAAGGGTTCTGGCAGCCTACGTAAACCCTGAACCCTAAACGTTCCTGGAAGGGTTTAGGGTTTAGGGTTTAGGGTTTAGGGTTTAGGGTTTAGGGTTTAGGGTTTAGGGTTTAGGGTTTAGGGTTTACGGTTTAGGGTACAGGCGCAGGCATTCTCCTACGCGGTCAATGCTATCTTCATCCCCGGAATCTTGTCCCACATCATCTCTGCATAGGTTCATTCCCACTTAAGCCCCAAACCCCAAACCCTGAATTGCAAAACCTAAGCCCCTAAACCCCTAAACCCTAAACCCTAAACCCTAAACCCTAAACCCCGCAGTTCATCCCAGCCCTCGGCTCCTTGCCCTGTGCAGGGCCTAGGAGCCGAATCTGCTCCCAATTCTAGAATGAAAGAGGCACATCACATGATGAGGGTTTAGGGTTTAGGGTTTAGGGTTTAGGGTTTAGGGTTTAGGTTTTTGGGTTTAGGATTCGGGGCTTCGACTTATCTACCCCATCTACCCCCAAGATTTCCAACAACAACAAAGCTGTGCATACTGTGACCCTTACAACACTTCGGCAAATGTTCGGAAACCCCCACACACCAGACAAACAAACCTCAATGGCACGTGCCTGGCAATGGAAAGTCATCGGTTGGCACGTATAGGCTCGGGAGTCGGGTTTAGGGTTTAGGGTGTAGGGTTTAGGGTGTAGGGTTTAGGGTTCAGGGTTCAGGGTTTAGGGCTTAGGGTTTGGGGTTCAGGGTTTGAGGTCGGGCTCTGTGCTTCCGAGAACATGCGTCCTCGCCCTTGACGTCAAAGAAGCCGATCAACGTCTCTACCTCAGCCAAACCAGCTATTTCACCAGCTCAGGGGTCCCTCAGGTTTAGGGTTTAGGGTTTAGGGTTTAGGGTTTAGGGTTTAGGATTTAGGGTTTAGGGTTTAGGGTTTAGGGTTTAGGGTTAGGGTTTAGGGTTTAGGGTTTAGGGCTACACCCCAGGTCAAGAGAGCACAGCGCCCGAACCAGAAATCATCCTGCAGAGGATCGGTGGCAGCCATCTACGAACCACCCACATACGGGCCAGAAGGGCAAAGTCCAAGGGGTTTAGGGTTTAGGGTTTAGGGTTTAGGGTTTAGGGGTTAGGGGTTAGGGTTTAGGGTTTAGGGTTTAGGGTTTAGGGTTTAGGGTTTAGGGTTACTTCTTGTAGCCAGTAAACATGGATGTCAGTAACTTCGAATGATTCCTCACACATAGTCGCTGGTATGTGCAAACTGCAGACTGCTAGTTTTGATTACTGCATGCTACTCAAAAAGCCGATTGAAAGTGAGCAAAACATCATAACTTAACTGTTTACAACTCATGAATAAAAAGGACGATTGCGCACAAACAAGAACATTGGACGGTTAGGAAAATAGTAAACAACAATATGAACACCAAGAACATGTTTGTAAAATGGGACAAAAACAGGTCGGGGTTTCCGAAGATGGGGGTACGATTTTGTTCTTGGGTCGCTTTCAAAGGACTGTACAGAAGCGGTACCCCTAGTTTCGGAAATCCCCAAGTAAGAAGAATGCATGGTAAGGAAAATAGTATACTCAACAGAATGGACACTAAGGACATGCTGGAACAATGAAGAACAAAGGTAGACAAATGCAAAAGAAGCAAGTGAGAACAGTAACCCTAAACCCTAAACCCTAAACCCTAAACCCTAAACCCTAAACCCTAAACCCTAAACCCTAAACCCTAAACCCTAAACCCTAAACCACCCCGAACACCGGCCTCTGCAGTCGAGGTGTCCGCCACACTGGCGGAGCCAACGCATTCCAGCGCCTGGGAGGGTCCGGGGTTTAGGGTTTAGGGTTTAGGGTTAGGGTTTAGGGTTTAGGGTTTAGGGTTTAGGGTTTAGGGTTTAGGGTTTAGGGTTTAGGGTTTAGGGTTTAGGGTTTAGGGTTTAGGGTTTAGGGGCCCTCCCTATAGGGTCCGTGTACCTCTCTAGTCTACAGTTGGGCCCTAAAGCTCCCCTTAAAGGCCTAATAATATTAAAATATTTCATATTATTAATAATATTAATAGTTAATAATGTTCAAAATAATATGAATATTAATAATATTACTGCGTAGGTACATGGACGCTCGATTCTGGGCTGCGCGGGTGGGAGGACACTCCACGCCGAGACTAAGGCGGCAAATTTACCCTAACCGAATTCTCTCTTTATAGGCCCTAAACTCAATGTCACGGAAGGTTGTTTTCATTAACTCCTTTTGGGTATTTCATGGTATTTCTGAACCCCCACAGCTGGCTTGTGGGGGGGGGGTTAGGGGGGGGGGGGGGTGGGAGAGGGTTGGGGGGGGGGGGTGGGGGGGGGGGGGTTGGGAGGGGTTGGGGGGGGGGGGTTGGGGCAAGGAGAAATGGCAGGTAAAATCCCTACAGACATGTGGATTCCACCCCACTGACCGGGATAGTCTCATCGTAGGGGATACAGCTGAAGCTGCACAGCACCCCCAACACACCAACACCCATAAACCCCAAACCCTAAACCCCCTCCCGTAAACCTTATCGGCCCTAAACGAAACATACTGGACCAAGCACGCTTTAAGTCTCCCCACCGCGACTTTCACCTTTTTGTCGGGAACCTGGCATGAGAGGGAAGCGAGCACGTTGCTTGGCTGCACTCGGGAGGGTAGCTAAAAATTAAACTTTTGGCTGCCCTATTAAGAAACCCAATTAACCCAAAAAGGGTCAGTATCTAAAGTTACAGTAAAGTACCACAAAGGTTGGGTTTAGGGTTTAGGGTTTGGGGTTTGGCGTTTCGACTTTAGAGGTTGCGAGTCTTGCATTCTGTGACACTGCATGGACAGGCATCAGAGGTGGACGCAAACCTTGCGTGCTGAACTCTACGCGCGTCCACGGAAACCGTTGCGAGCCGATGTTGCTTTCACTTGAGAGGCAACTGGCGATGAATCTACCGCAAACATATCCACCTTCGACATCCTCGTACTATAGTCTTCTGTTTAGCAGGGAATTGCGCTTCCTTGCGGCATGTGTTTGCTTCTTGAGAAAGGGACCTGTGCTCGAATCAAAACCCCTGTGCTGCCCAGGGAGTTGAGGGTTTAGGGTAAAACCCCATTATTACACCCTAAACCCTGAGCCCCAAACCCTTAACTTATAAACCCTAAACCCAGAGCTTCTGGAAGTTTCTTGGAACCACGGTTTAGGGTTTAGGGTTTAGGGTTTAGGGTTTGAGGGCTGAAGGTTTAAGGTTTCTGGGCTCACATGGGCTGGCGGACCGTGAGCATCTGGAACATCAACTCCTCTCGCTGGTGATTAACTTCCTGCCCAGGAGCGGAACGCTGGGAGGGGGGGGGGGGGGGGGGGGCTGAGGGTTTAGGGTTTAGGGTTTAGGGCTTAGGGTTTAGGGTTTCGGGTGCAGGGATTTAGGGGATCAGCTGACAAGCACAATCGTTGATTCATGGTCTTAACCCTAAACACCACATGCTGCCGTGCCCCGGGCGTGCCCTAAGCCTTCAACCGCAAGACCTAAGACCCTAAACCCCAAACCTTAAACCCTAAACCTTAAACCCTAAACCTTGAACCCAAAACCCAAAACCCTAAACCCTAAACCCTAAACCCTAAACCCACACCCTAAACCCTAAACACTAAACCCCCTCCCAACTAAGTCTACCCAAAGGGATAGGAAGACTGCAAGACGAGCGAAGAGTTGATGCTCGTACCCATCCTCTGGCTTTCACTTCTGAACCACTGTGAAGTTTAGGGTTTAGGGTTTAGGGTTTAGGGTTTAGGGTTTAGGGTTTCGGGTTTAGGGCTTTGGAGTTAAGGGTTTAGGGTTTAGGGTTTAGGGCCTAGGGTTTAGGGTTGCGGCCTTAAGGTTTAGGCTCCAGAGCAAATAGAAGTCCCTCTGATGCACCAGGCAAAGCTAACACCCTGGTTATAGGACCCAAACCGTACATCCGCATCCCAACCCTCGAAGCCTATAGCATTCCCACATCCCCTACCTCAGCAGAAGCGTTTAGGGTTTAGGGTTTAGGGTTTAGGGTTTAGGGTTTAGGGTTTAGGGTTTAGGGTTTAGGGTTTAGGGTTTAGGGTTTAGGGTTTCGGGATTGGGGTGACGGTCTCTTTTTGTGCCCAGCATGGTCTCAGCAATGACTTTGTCCATCCACTGGGCGCTGGGGGTGCAGAGGGTTGAGGGTTTAGGTTTAGGGTTTAGGGTTTAGGGTTTAGGGTTTAGGGTTTAGGGTTTAGGGTTTAGGGTTTAGGGTTTAGGGTTGTTTGCCTCCGGTAGGTTTAGGGTTTGTCGCAGTGTTCCTTTTTGTGGACCAAACGAACCCTGGATAGGGTTTTATGGTCGGTCCAGGGCATAAGAGCGAAAAGGATTATGGTCCACATACCCTGATAGGGATTCTGCTAGCATATGAAATATGTAACCCCAACTTTCTGGTTCATGGGGTCCCTATTAGGCAGGTTCCTCTTGGCGACAGGTAGGTTGATTGTGTACGCACTTCTGCTAGACAATGCATACAAATCTTGCCTAACTCATGAGCCCCCCTCAAGAAATCGGAACCTGCCCTGACCCAGACAGATCACGGCTTTTGTGGAAAGGCTTTCGTGTGACGCCCCGTCGCAAGCAGCTTGCCGCTCGCGTCCGTGAGTTTCACCTTGCCAAGCTCATCTTGAGAACTCAAAACCTACCCTAGTGAGCTCGTCGTAAGGGTTTTGGGGAATTGGGCTGACGAATGTTCGCCCCTTTAGAGCCTATTCTATGCCGGGAACCAAAGAAGCCGCTTTCGCAAAACTTTAATACCACGCCCACAGAAGAGCAGACAATGGATTTGCTCTGCCTTAAGGTCTGCATGTCCAAAAATAGGGATACCCGAAAAATCCTTAATCTACACCTAGACAATATCCCCAAACCCTAAACCCTAAACCCTCAACCTGAACCCCCTATTCTAGGAACCCCAGCATGTACACTAAGGGTTGGGTAGTTGAAAGGGGTGTTAGGGCAGGGTTTAGGATTTAGGGTCTAGGGTCTGTTGCAGCCACGGGATGTACAGGCTGTCCACACGAGTTCATCCTCTTCTGATGCGCCTTCTAACTTCGATCCAGCGCTTAACTATGGGGTAGATAGATCACAGAGTTTGGGATGTTCCCTCTTATGCGAACAGTCCTAACTAGGGATGATAGTACCCCCTATGACGTGGTTTTCTGTATGATAAACCCCGAAAAAGGACTGTGACCATAAGGGGGAACATCCCCACACAGAGCGGTTACTCTGACGAACAACCGCAAAGGCAGTGATTCTCCAGCCTCTCAAGAGCCTCAGAACACGCGCCAACCCTCACATTGCACCGACTACTGGCAGGGAAAAGGACCCCCATATCATCCCGAAACCCTACAAACCCTGAACCCTACACCCCCTAACAAAGAACAAACATCACCCCCAAACCCAGCAAACCCTGAACCCCGAACCCCCCAACAAAGAACAAACATCCACATCCTGAACCCGCCGCCAAGTGGCCTCCGTAAAGCCCAACGCGCGGCCATACTTCGTGACTGTGCCAGTCACAGTGATGACCTCCATCTAGAAGTCAGCATTTCAGGGGTCCTTCTTCTTTATAGGGCTCCCCAAACCCTAAACCCCATGAATACCCTACAACCGGTCTAGGGTCAGGGATTCTCCTTGGTTGGGAACTCCCATCGCTTGAAGGCTTAGCAGTACTTTGGCAAACCCGGTGCCCAGTTCAAAAGGACCAGGATTCAGTTTACGGCTTGGGTCTTGATGTTTTTAGGGTTCATATAGTGGCTTTAGGCTTTGTAGGGCTTTTAGGGCTTTTTAGGCTTTATAGGGTTTATAGGGCTTCACATGGCCACACCGAGGCACCTTGCCTCCCCACCCTTGGCAGGGGCCATGAAGGTCTGACTCATCTCGACGCTGACTCCCGGGCGCGTGGGGTCCTCTCGTTGGCAGCGCTGGGTTTGAGCGCCATCCCAGAAATACCGCGCTACAAGTCTCACGTGGAACTGGTTCTTTGAGAGTTTGGGGCTTAAGAACGCCTATGGTCCAGATACCCGAACTGGGATCTTGGTCGTTCCTGAGACATTGTGCCGCCATGGGGTCACAACATGAAGAGTATCAACAAAGAGAGGCCGATGTCAGCGCCGAGCGTATGCGTTTTTTCGCAAAGGCCTGCTCGCGCTCTCGGCGGAAATCAAGCTCTCGCCTTGGCGCGAGCTGCGGACTCTTGGAAGTCGCGAACATGCACTCTGGCATAGGCCCTGAAGTGCATGTTCCATGCTCGAAATCGTGCTTCCGCCTAGGTCCCGTGCACTTTTTTGAGGCTTGCATTGGCCCCCTCTCGCGAAAACGTGGCAGGCGCGCAGTTTCCTGCATTTTGGGCCGTTGCAGGGATTCGTTTCGTGCATCCGAAGGGGGATCTGCAATATGAAGTGTCCACATGGCCTCCCACTTTTGGGGTGTCTACGCTTTGCACAATAGTGGCTGCATGATACCAATTTCAGCAAATTACTTCTGGAACCATACCCGAATCCCTAAAACCACCAACAGGAAAGTCTCCACCAGCACATTGAAAACCCTTAAGCCCTGAACCCTTAACATCCCTTAGTTCCCTAAACCCCATAAACCCTACATCCCAAACATCCCGAAGTTCCCTAGGTACCCTGAGCCCTGAACCTATACCAAAACCTAGACACCCCATAAACCCGAAAAACCCAAAACCCCAAACCCCAAACCCTAAACCCCAAACCCTAAACCCTAAACCCTAAACCCTAAACCCTAAACCCCAAACCCTGAACCCTAAACCCTAACACTTAAAACCCAAAAAATATCGTTCCGTCCTTACTTAGCAGAGCCATGGTCCCCAAGACGTCCACCAGCGTAGCTGTGCACCCTCCCCGGAGGCCAGCGGCAAGCCGGTGTTAGGGTTTAGGGTTTAGGGGTTTAGGGGTTCAGGGGTTCAGGGGTTCAGGGGTTTAGGGGTTTAGGGGTTTAGGGGTTTAGGGGTTTAGGGGTTTAGGGTTTAGGGGCTTAGGGTTTAGGGGTTTAGGGTTTAGGGCTTAGGGTTTAGGGTTTAGGGGTTTAGGGCTTAGGGCTTAGGGTTTAGGGGTTTAGGGGTTTAGGGGTTTAGGGGTTTAGGGGTTTAGGGGTTTAGGGGTTTAGGGGTTTAGGGGTTTAGGGGTTTCGGGGTTTAGGGGTTTAGGGGTTTAGGGGTTTAGGGCTAGGGTGTTGGGATCTAGGGGTTTAGGGTTTAGGGTGTAGGGTTTTGGGTTTCAGGGTTTAGGGTGGAGGGTTTCGGGTTAAGGCGACTCCGGCTGTGTAGTAAAAAACCCTTCTCCGCGAACGCACGCGCAGCCCAAGGATGGCTGCCTTCTCCTTCAACCCTAAACCCTAAACCCTCAACCCTAAACCCTAAACCTTAACCCCGCTTGAGGTGGTTGCCAAAGTACACGCCCTTTGTTGGCACCAAATGAAGGTTTTAGGGTTTAGGGCTTAGGGTTTAGGATTCAGATGCATATATGGGTACTTCTCAAAATGGGGGGTCCCATGCAAAGGTAACCTATACAATATGCATCCTGGTAATACGGGCTCCAAAAAAAGGCGCAAGCGTTTAGAGAACCGCCCATGCGGCCTAAACCCTTAACCCTAAACCCTAAACCCTAAACCCTAAACCCTAAACCCGAAACCCGAAACCCTAAACCCAAAAAAAACAGGGAATCAGGGCCTACTCTGGCTCCTCCTGGACCACAACGAAAAGGGTGCGTAGCGAAAGTCTCGTGCCAGATTTAGTCGCCCTAAACTCATCGGCTTCTCTGAAGCCGAAGTTTCAGAAGTTAGAAGGACATGAAGAGCCCTAAGCCCCAAACCCTTGACTCTTTTTGGGCGACAGACTGAAACGTCGCAAGATTCTCGCGAGCCTCCGTGCATTGTTCCGTAGGCATTCTTGACGCCATCCCCGACCGTGATTTGACACCTCCGTGCTTTGCACACAGGCCCTCTAAGCTGCCATTCAGGGTGCAGGGTTTTGGAGTTTGGGGATACTTCAGGTTTAGGGTTTAGGGTTTAGGGTTTGAGGTTTAGGGTTTAGGTTTTAGGGTTTAGGCACTTTGTGGCTTCGGACACTCTGGGATTTACAGTACTCAAGCATAGATGCGCAGCGCTCCCGTTGCATCCCTAATACTGACACTCAATGCAACTTACAAGCGATGCGCGGATCATGGTCGCACTTCAGCCAAGTAATGCCAGAAGGGAACCTTGTTTTGGTTGGTTACTTTCAAAGGGAACCCAGAACCAACAAATGTGTAAAAGGTACCACTCAGCCCCGAAACCCTCAACCCTCAACCCTCAACCCTAAACCCACCAAGCCACAAGGCACCAAGAGGGGCTCCCAAGCACTGAGAGGCCGGAACTCAGGCGCGGGCTCCACATAACCCTCCTCCACCTTGATGCACTCCATACCTGGTTCAGCTCTGCACTCCAAGGGTGAACAACGATTGTTTGAGGGTTTAGGGTTTAGGGTTTAGGGTTTAGGGTTTAGGGTTCAGGGTTGGCTTAGGGTTTAGAGTTGAGGGTTCAGGGTCTAGGGTTTCGGGTTTAGGTATAGGAGGGTCAGTATCATGATAGCCGCCGTCATGATCGCAAGCATCATCATCATCATCATCAGCAGCAGCATGATGGCAACTGCAACAATCATTGCAATCATGAAAAAGTGCATCGTTTCTCTCGCTATCCATCTTTACTAACATCATTTACACTCTCCCAAATACTTTTTCGCTTTCTGGAGCAAGTCAAGTTCTAATGCGCAATGCCAACACTGGCCGTGTAACAAAAATGTTGATAAAAACCCTAAACCCTAAACCCTAAACCCTAAACCCTAAACCCTAAACCCTAAACCCTAAACCCTAAACCCTAAACCCTAAACCGAATCAGGGTGACGATCACCGTGGAGCCAGAAACTTCGGGAGAGGCAGAGTCGGGGCAAGGGCCCTTGGTCTATTCAGGTTCATGTATCCGTATACGATTATGGTGGTGTAGGGTATATGATGATACCCAAACCCCAAACCCCAAACCCCAAACCCTAAACCCTAAACCCTAAAGCCTAACCTAAACTAATGTCGTCTCGAAGGTTTCGGCTGGGCAGCCGCAATCTCAATGGCGTGGCACATGTGAGGAACTCAGAGCGGTTTAGGGTTTAATGTCGGGTTCGCACACAGAGCTATGTCTTTGTAGACCCTTCTCTCGCTCCTGACCGGAATCCCTCAGAAGTTGTGCTAAATCGAAGACGTCCCACATCATGACACAAGCAAGTCAGACGAAAACAGCTTCGGCAAGTCATTCTTCGACGAGAAACAGTGTTGCAACCCTTTACGCCAATCCTAACCCCTTTCTCCTTCACCGGGCCTCGTAGAACGCTGTCGAAACGATCCCCTGTGCCTGGGCCAAAGATGGGGAATCCTCCCCTGACACGTGAGCTGTTTTCCAAGTTATGGTCCCCCTTAGGTTCCTCTTTAGGGTTGTTTAGGGTTTAGGGTTTAGGGCTTGCAATGCGGAACTTTATATTTCGGGTATGCAAGACTGCCAGGAGCCTCGAAGTCGGCCCAAGTGCGTTCGAGGTTTCAATGCGGTTGCTGCGGAAAACCCTCAAACGTTGACCTCTGACCCCAAACCCTCGCCCTAAACCCTAAATCCTAAACCCTAAACTCTAAAGCGGCTACTGAGGCGGCCCTTGGGTTTTTTGTCTTCCAACCCTAGTTGTGTTAAGTGAGAGGAAGCTCGTTCACGAAGCCTCTTCTCTACACACGGAACCCCAAATTCCCAGAAGCCATAAACCCTAACAAAGAAACCTAAACCCTAAACCCTAAACCCTAAACCCTGAACCCTGAACCCTGAACCCTGAACCCTGAACCCTGAACCCTGAACCCTGAACCCAAGCCCTCAAGAAGCATAAGCCACAAACCCTATAAACCCTCAACCCTTACTTCATGAGCGTTGTCGTCCAAGCACATTGGACAACCCCATTTATGAACAACAACCCTAAAGCTTTGGGCCTTCTAAACCCCCAAAGCCCCAACTCCTTAAACCCTGAATCCCTAAACCCCTGAATCCTGAACCCTAAACCCTTGAAAAACCCTCAACCCTAAACCCTAAACTTCCTGTACGTTGCCGACCAGGCACTTTGAAATTGGCCCAGCAAGGAGTCTCTTCCTTCCGCCGCAGCTCGCTGGATGTACCTCCCGAAGTTTGCCAAAGGATGTCTGCCTTTCGTTTATAACACGCACACACACACACTCAATATTATGCGTGTATATATATATATAGCTATTTATTTAAATGCTTTCCTTTAGTCTGTCTATGTAATAATTTTCTGTATATTCTGGTGTATGTTTTCATGTACATACAATACATAAGCTTAGGCCTCACAGGCTGAGAGGCTTCGGGGTTTGGAGTTTGGAGCGTCTCCACGAAACCAAGCTGCTGAAACGTCCCCTGTGATCCTTCGAAAGATGTGGCAGCACCCAAGCCCTTACCTTAAGGCTCCCAGCCCCCAAGCCCTAATTCCTAATTGCGAGTAACCCTAAACCCTAAAACCTAGATCCGAGACAGCAAACATCCAAAGCACCTGTAAATTTCAATCCCTAAACCCCAAACCCAAAAACAAGCAATCCCCTCTAAGCCCTCACGAACCCATATAACCCCCAAACCCCAAAACCCGAGCCGCCGCACCCGGTGGCGAAGCGCCGCCCCGTGGCGCAAGGCGCCCAGGCTGTGCGGGCAGCTCGCAGGAGGGCGGCCATTGGTGGCGGCTTACAAAAAATCTCTAGTGGCAAAGAAGGAACCCAGAGAGGTTTTGGTCCCTTTAATATACCTTATAGTAGGGATTCTGTAGCAATAGGGTTTGGTATAGGGTAGATGGTCCCAGTTCTAGGGTTCATTTTGTCCGGAAACGCTACATTCTGGTTCAAACCAGCCAGGTACGAGTAGTTCAGGGACTGTCCTGGGACTGGTGTGAAGGCCGTGCGGAATACGGTTGCCTCCCGGCTCAATGCGGTCGATGGCTGCAGGGCCTCTGAGACAAGAGCCTCAACATGTTGAACAGGCTTGTAGCGCAGAAGCTGCTGGCAGCCAAGTAAGCCAACAACGGAAGCTCCCTGCAACTACTTCAGAGTTCAAAATCAAATCCTGCGTGAACCTGCCCCGCGGCGAGTGTCTCTCACAACTCTCATGCTCCTTGATCGGGCGATCGTCTCTCGATCTCTCGGTATTCATGCTGCGTATCCTTCTGCATCAGAAGTTCCAATTGGCCGCTTGCGCCCATTCATCCGCCGAGGCCCACGAAGTCCCCCCACCCCTAATCACCCACCCCCGAGCCAGAATCTTCCCCCCAGTTCGGCTGGCCTTCTTGACTTCGGCATACCTGGGTCACCAGTTGAGTGATGTTTAGGCCGAGGTTCCTTGTGCAACAAATCGGAGAAAAGGGAGACGCCCCTTGTGAGGGCTTATTAGGATCTAGGGTTTTGGGTTTTGGGTTTAGATCCGGGCCCTTAATGGTCCTTTAGATGCGCAGCACTTTGGCCATACGTGTTCTGCAGTGAACCTTAACACACTGCAGCAGCACAATGGAGAAGCTAGCGGCTTGCAATCCCCTATATCCGCTCAGAACGCGCGCACACACACACAATGACCTTGCATTCGGAATTGTACAACCCTAAACCCTAAACCCTAAACCCTAAACCCTAACCCTGAACCCCAACATCATAGGAATATACTCATATACTAGAACGCTAGCCGAAAAAGAACAATAGCATAACAATATACTTGCACAAAACGATTCATACAACAATATTTTCACATAATGGAAGAATAGGTTGATAATGTAGAAAATCCTGCAGAAATTTGATAAAATAGTCGTTATTGTCCTATCTACAAGGTATCTTAATGCCCAATTCAAACAACGCTGTTGATGTTGCCCTTATCCCTAAACCCTAAACCCTTACACAAGGCATTTTAATACAAACAATGCTGTTGATGTTGCCCTTTTTGCGCGTGCCCAGAAGCCACAACCACACTGGGACGCGGGCAATGGGCCCTCAACCCTGGTGAAGAAAGAGACCTGAGCTTCTTGGAGGTATAGGGCTTGTGGTTTAACTAGGGTTTAGGGTTTAGGGATGGTTTAGGGTTTAGGGTTCAGGGTTTAGGGTTTAGGGCTTAGGGCTTGGAGGGGTTTAGGGTTTAGGGCTTGCGCAGCACTGCTAGCTCCACATAAGAAGATTCGGAACGCAGGCCTCCCCTCCTTCTGCAAAAAAAGAGGGGTTTAGCAGCTTCGCTTGAGTTTCTGCGGGTGCAGCTGGGATGTTGCTTTAAAAGAGACGAAGCACCCCACTCCCGCTTCTGAGGGCTGCGGGAAAGCTGGGATATTGGGGGTACGAAGTAGCATATATAATCAACAACATATCTATCTGTTTCTTCACTCGTACATATTATGGTTTTGGACCTTTTGGTTGATTATGCGGAGAGATGCGGAGAGATGGCAAGGAAGTCTCCCCTGCGTTTGAGAATGCACCAAGTGCCTTGCCTCAACTAGCAGGTGCTTTATGTAAAATGACGAACAGAGAGCAGAGGTAAGTATCGTGAAGCTCATTCCCTGCAAAGAACCTGCCGTTTAGGGGCTAGGGGGGTGGAGGGGAGATCCGACGACGTCCACCAAAAGAGGATCGGTAAACGGTCATGGGGATTGTTGCGAGTCCAACAACAAAAGAAGAACTACGTGCCTAGGTACAGTAGGCTTCCCTCGACTGAATAAACACGAGAATCTCTGAGGTTGAGACAGAGAGCCCCGCACAAGCTACTCTAATAAGGGTACCCCCTAACCCTAATTATAAGGGTACCCATAACCCTAAACCCTAAACCCTAAACCGTATACCCTTTCTTAAGTCGGTTGCTGTAGGAAGGACTTTGAACCACTAACAAGGGCGCAAAGGGTGCCACAGGGCCACCAAGCATGGGCGGTTAAGGGTTTAGGGTTTAGGGTTCAGGGTTTAGGGTTCAGGAATTAGGGTTTAGGGTTCAGGGTTTAGGGTTTAGGGCTAGGGTTTAGGGTTCAGGGTTTAGGGCTCGGGTTTAGGGTTCAGGTGTCGAATCTATTGGGTACAGGCTTTAGGGTTCAGGGACGAGTGGGAACAGGGGCTCCCTGTTAGGACCAGGGCCTGAGCTACAGATGGATGGGTTTAGGGTTTAGGGTTTAGGGTTTAGGGTTTAGGGTTTAGGGTTTAGGGTTTAGGGTTTAGGGTTTAGGGTTTAGGGTTAAGGGTTAAGGGTTAAGGGTTAAGGGTTTAGGGTTTAGGGTTTAGGGTTTAGGGTTTCGGGTTTAGGGCTTAGGGCTTAGGGTTTAGGGTTTAGGGTTTGGGTCTATAGGGCATGGGGTTAGGGTTTGGGGTTTTGGACACATTCGAGGCCCGCGCCAGGCGGATGATGGCCTGCAAGCCAAGCAATCCCCAGATTCTGCTGCTACTCACCGGGATTGCCAAGAGCATGTTCCAGCGAAAGTAATTCATAGACTTTGTCTCTAGATGCAAAGAAGCACACAGACGACCAAAAACATAATATATACATGTGTGTATAATATGTGTAAAAAACAGGAAGCAATAAGAGAAGATGCTGCCATGTGACGCATGAACCCCTAATGGCTGCAACCATTTGAACATCACCCTCTAAACCCTCAACCCTTAACCCTCAACCCTCAAGTCAACCCTAAACCCTAAACCCTAAACCCTAAACCCTAAACCCTAAACCCCAACATGGGCCTCGAAGATCTCCAAGACCAGCGGCTGCTCCAGGGTGCGTGGCTTTGGCATCGCCTGGAGCCAAGGAAGGACATGGTTGTTGTGTTTGGGTTTAGGGTTTAGGGTTTAGGGTTTAGGGTTTAGGATTTAGGGTTTAGGGTCTAGGGTTTAGGGTTTATTGAGGGTTTGGGATTTAGGGAGGAGGAGGAGGAGGGGAGGAGGAGGAGAAGGAGGAGGAGGAGGAGGTCCGTAAGTTGTGGTTCCCATCATGATTCAGGGAACTGCCCATTGCCCATATGCAGGTTCAGGCTTGGAGGCGTGGAGAGCGAGCTTTAACCCGCGGGGATGTGACAGATTGGAGGAGTCCTTGGACTTTGGAACTCAACGTGAGATTCTTTCCATACTGGGATCCCGTTATCGCGGGGTTTTATGTTTAGTAGTTTTAGAGATTCATATTTTGGCAGAACAAATTGGACGGTATGGTGGATCCACCCTAAACCCTAAACCCTAAACCCTAAACCCTAAACCCTAAACCCTAAACCCTAAACCCCCCTTTTGTCATCTCAAACGTCGGGGTGTGGACCATGCGCCTTCGGCGGTGGCTCACCGGGGCTTACCTGATCCCACTGCTGGGCACAGATGCCGACATCCACTTCGGTATAGCTGTAGCCTTTGCGCTCCAGCCATGCCACTTCTGCCTTCTGCGAGTTCCCTAAGCCCTCTGCGGCAGCCAGGAACTCGAGATCCTCTTGTGGGAGCCATGCGAAGAAGAGGCGATCCACTTCCCGGGAAAAGGGCGAAGACTTGTCACCACGCTCTCTGCAAGAGAGTCCACCGAGACCCGCTTGCAGCGCTGCCTGAAAGCACTGGGACTCTTCAAACTCATCCCTTCGGCCATTGATCCTCTCGCGCCGCAGGTGTTCTTCACCCGCAGTTGCGAAGCTTTGTACCTTCCCCTTGCCTGTTGCTCCCTCGAAGAAATAGACCTGGAGCTCCACCTGCCCTTGCACCGCCTGCTCGATGTTCTTCATCCAGCGGCTCCACCAGTGACAGCCCCAAGGTTTTGGCTCACCAGAGATGTGAGAGCACCAGCAATCCGCCTCTTTCAAGTCTTCAGAGACCTCACTCGGAGGGATCTTGTCGTGCCAAAATGCCTGGTGCCCTCTGGAAGGAAGACGACTGCTGCGCTGAGATCTCCGGCCCGACTCAGCTCAACGAGCGTCTCCCAAGCCTCCTCATACTTGCCTGGCCAGGAGCAGACGCATGGGCGGCCTGCACCTGGCAGGACCCCGCCTTTGAAAACGATGCTGCGCCGCAGCACGTGCTTGCGTGCATCATCAACTGCTACTTTCATCGAGTTGGCGAACATGGCTCCCCTAGCTCTAGCCTTTCTGTTGAAGATGCCGCTGCAACAGAGGGTTAAAGGCCACAGGATAAAGGCGGTCCACCAGTGTCCCATCAAACTGTTGCGCACGGTCATGAACACAAGAGCCACGAGCCCCAAAGCCCATGCGATCCTCACAAAAGTGCTGTACAAACAGCCATAGCTTTCCCAGAAAAAATCTGCGGCAGAGCGCCTCACTCCCATTACAGCGCACATGCAGCTCACGTAAATGCACGGGGGGAGCACAGCAGCACTCAGCAAGCCGGCTGCCAGGCCATCACCCGGCTGGATGGAAGCGCACAGCAGCACCAGGACAATGGCCAAAGCCACAGTAAGCCCAAAACGGACGCAAAGCTCTGTTAACGAATAGTTAATGCGTTTGCCCTGTATTCGGTGGAAAGCCTCCTGCTGCGTCATGTCATCGCGACGCTGGTCTCTGACCTTCCGTCGCACAGCCTCGCGCTCTGCTCCCTGCTGCTCCAAGCGATCCCTCTCTAAAGCCTCTCGTCCAAAAGGCCCGAAATCCCGGGAAGCCTGAAGCCCGACGCCACGCCCACAGCACCACCAGCATCCCTCACGAACTGCCCGGAGCTCCGCATGGCCCACCACGCCCAGAGCCTCTCTGAGTCGG